CCAAACTTCAGAGCAGAGCAGAGCAGATTTCTGCTCCCCTTCTCCATTTCATGCTGCTGGCTGTTAGTGCAAATCCCAACAAGTAAGTTTGAAAGTGTCCCAGGTTCTAAAGGAAACATCCCCCTCTCCCCACCACCAGGAGCCCTGTGAGCCCTTGCAGAAGCCCTTGTTCTGAACCAGGAGTATGGATCACCCCGTGCCCCCAGGCTCCTCACAGGCTGCTGTGCACAGAGACAGGACAGCAGGTGAGTTCCCAGGAGAATGTCCCAGGCAATGTGACAACTCACCTTGTGCTCAGGGGGCACCTTCCTGCCCTGGCAGCTTCCAGCCAGAGCCCCACAGCAATTCCCAGCCTCTACAAGAACAGAATTGGACGACAACGGAGAGCAATGGACAACAGATGGAGAAAGACAGACTTTTCCTCTGCAAGACAACAAGGGAAGTTTTAATGGGACAGGCTGGAAATAAGCACATGCACTGAGGTTCTGGAGAGCTGCAGTTCATTATTTCCCACCTCCTGGAGGTTGATGGGGCAGGGTTAGAGAGAAGAAGTTTGTAGAGAATCAGCCTCTCCTGGCCAAGCAGCAGGGATGAGTCCATCACCAGCTCCCTATCAGACAGAATTTCTGCTCCTGCAGCTCCCATGCACATCCCAGGATGTGAAAGGTGTTGAACAGGCACTTAGCACATCTTCTTGGGGAGGGAGCAAGAATTCCCATCTGGCATTGCTCAGAGGGCCCTGCTGTCTCTGGGAGCAGGAGGTCCCTGCAGGCGTGGGTGCTGGGCAGGCACTGCAGTGACACCAAGACCACGTTTCACATAGACACCTTTATTTTCATATTTCTGCATGGATGAATGTTCTTTTTCCTGAGGTGTACTGGTAGACAGATAATACCCTACAAAATGGAGTTTAGCAAACATATATATATATATGTACACACATATATATCATCTGGCAAAGTCACTTCTGCACTCCTCATGTGTCAGAATAGGTGCTTACCATAAACCAAAGCTAAAGGGACACTGTGAGGTTTTGGGTTATTTTTCTTATCAATAACATAGTGTTTACATTTTGTTTTTCAAAGCAATTGTCTGCTTTCCTGCTTATAGTTAAACAGAACTGCAGAAGGGAAAAGACAAGGCCTGTAAGCTTTCAGTTTTCACTCCCCTAAGCTACTATCAGTGCTGCTGGTAGAAGAACATTTCTGAACTTTACACAAGGGCCAAACCATCAGTTCAGTGTATGTCACCACATCAAATGTAAGAGCACCCCTGAATCAGTGATGCAAATGAATCATTGGCATGTGTTAGCTCACAGCTGTTTCACAGCCCCCACACGCATGGATACGTTTGAGTCCCACTTTTAAAAGTTTCATTGAAAATTTTTAACCTGACAATGTCCCTTGAGAAAAAATACATATGGCATTTAAGAAAGGACACCTTCCTACAGCTATTTCTTTTTATTATTAAAACCAACATCTTTAAAACCATTCAACAAAATTAAATGCAAATTGCCATCAGAGAATAGCATTTGTAACAATGAAGTTGTACATGGCTGATCCATTAACATGGCTTTAGTTATCACAATTTACATTATTTGCACATAGCCTTATGTCTTTCATGGCACTTCCATAAAGAAGCAGCAAAGTTTGACACACTGCTGTTACCATCTTATTAGAGGCGACTCACGGACACAAGGGTGTTTGTTCTCAACACGTACTTCAGTCAGGAAATGTCTCTGCCCACGATGCCTGAACCTCAGCGTATTTGTGTCTCAAGCTTTTAGCCTGGTTCATGATTACTCACAATACTGCATTGCATTCAGAGGAACAGGAAAACAAACAGCCATAGAACAGGCACAGTAGTTTTTTTCTTTCTTTTCTCATCATTTATCACATTCCTATTTGTCAACAGATTGTTACCTAAAATTCACGTTAGAAAGGCTTTCTTTATAAAATGCTGGCATGAAGATGCAGACTAATGTTTTTAACTAGTGAAACAGTCAGAGTCCTGATTCAGACATTATTTAAACATTCATAACTTGGAGGAAAAGTGCACATTTGATAGCACTGACAGAATCTGACTGTAACAGGAACTGCTTTCTGCCTACTGGCAGGAGGATTGATGAGGGTGGGAGGCTGGGGTAGCATAGTGTGTTTTATTTAGAAATCTGTAGTAGTGTTTGTCATAAATATTGCAAGGCCCGTTTATGAGCAAGCGGAGGCTCGGCAAGTTTACAGTAGAGTAACATTCACAGAAAACATGAAAAACAAATGCAAAGCCATTTCCATGCAGAGAGCAGCTCTCTCACAGTCACTGATGTCTCACCTGCTGTCTGAAGCACACCTGCCATGGACAGATGCTGCTGATGGAAAACCAAGAGGTCTTCTATGCGCTGGTGCATCCCAGCCCCTGGCTGTAACAGTGGGATCAGGGAAATAATTGGGTTTGCAGTGGCAAGGGCTCTGCCACAGATAGATTCTGCAACCTGAGCTTTGGGAAAACACAGCTGTGGGTGACACTTTGCAATACTTTCTGTCTTAGCTACCTCAGGTGAAGCACAGAGCTCAACCCAGGCTGAACATCAGGAGTGTGTGGGAGGGGTCTGACTCCAGTGGGATCCTAATTAAAGCTCGTTATGCTCTAAGGGCAGACTCAGTGTGGCTGTCAGCATTTCCTCTCTACCTGGTTCACCCTCATTGTTCCTAGAAGTGAAAAGCAGGCACAGTGGAGCAGCAAAGGAGATAGCAGAAGTGCAGGGTCAGTGCTAGGACCCTGATTTCAGCAATGCACACCATGACAGTGGCACCAGTTGTTTGATGCTGAGTTGGAGCCACACTCCAGAGAAAGCAGTGACAGCCCTGGTGACAAAGGCAGCCCACACATAACTGCTGCCAGCGGGGCCAGGAAACACAGCTGGGGACAAATGCATCACAGTAACTCCAGAAATTAAATTAGCTTCAGGGTCTATGGCATCATGCAACTAATAACATTTTCTTTTGAAAAGGGTGCATTCCAAACATTTCTGTCTATATGTGCTATCTCATAAGCACACTTGAAGCAAGACTGTTAGAGGAAAAAGGCACTGTGCTAGCCTGATTCAAATCCTTAACTTCCATTGTCCTGAGCACTTCTCCCTCTGCTGGAATGAACTGCTTAGAATAATAGACTAAGCAGTTTTGGTGGGAAGGAAAACCTAGTAGTTATATTAATTTCTGTCATTTGCTAAAGTGATTGCAAGAAGAATCAAGAAGGAATGGTGTAAACTGTGTATTATTATTTCAGCTACAACTGATGTCTTTACCAAGTGCCTGTTATTACAGCTTAAATGACAATACCCAACAACCGGAAGAAAGGTACTCCCCCAGCATGGCATCCCTCCTGCAAACCCCAGCCCTTCACCAGAGCTGCTGGATCACTGCTGGGAAGAATTCATTAATGGTACTTAATGGTATGAAAGGCATAAACAAGATGGATGAAGGTGTCATTCCTGCAGACATGTAACTTCACTTGAACAGCACTTTTGATGACAAGGGGACAACTTAAAGAAATAAAGTTATGACTATACAGAAGTGTATGGAGGAGCACAGCAAAAGGGGAAAATACCCCATCTTGGGGAAGTAGCATTATCATTATATCAGGACTGATCAGACCTTCTTCTATAATCAGGAATGCTTCAGTAGATGAAATTTTTATAAAATTAGGGCTACAGAACTGAGGCATACTATATATTCCATATTATAGAAACCTTCCACACACGTAATTCTTAAAATATTTCTTCAGTGCTAACACTTGGTCTGTAATATTGTATGTGATACAATAAAAATAGATGCTTACTGGATGGGAGTGATGCAGCACTACAGCAGGGACTGTCCCATCTGCATGGTTTGAACAGCTGGAAAAGTTGGTTGTTCCCTTCTTCCCTTCTCTTCTCAGCCATCATCTGCCTGGAGATGGGGAATGGCACTGGTGGGTCAGCTTTCCTAGGAGGCTTCTTCACAGAAGGATCTGACATTTCCCAGCTGACAAATCATCCAGCCTTGGTGCAAATTCACTACATGAGCTTTTCTGTTTCATTAATTTAAAAACCAAACCCCTAAACCAATACCTTACTTGGCATAAGCAAAGATATGGGGCTTGTACAAGTACAATCACCTTGTAGGGAAAAAAAATATGGGCCTGGCAGCTGATTCTGAGGCTAATAACTATTCAAGATCTCCCAATCAAATGTGCTGGGCACTTTATGGGTGCCAAGGTCTGTATGTTGAAACACAGCTGCGCCTTTGTTATTCACTAAGTCAAACAAGAAAGCTTAAATAAATCCATAAAGGGGGCAAGACCTTACTGTAACATCCAGTGATAAACCTAGGAAGTGTGTGCCAAACTACAGCAATAGAACCAGAGCACATGGTGGTGCTGCGGAGAAGCAGAGTGGAGCAGCACCTGGTGTCCCTGGGACTCAGCAGGAGGCTGGGACTTAGAGCAGGTGCTCATCTTTCTGTACCAGCCATTACACACCTGCCTGGTCTCCTGAGAACTTACCATTCCTGAACAGGATTTATTCTGTACTTTTATACTCATGTGCAACATGTTCTGCTCCTTTCTGGCTCACCCTGGCATGAAGATCACCTCGATAAAGTATTCAGGAAGAACTCCACTAAACTCAGCATGATGGTACCAGTGCATGTGAGAGGATAAGCAGGATCTCTGCAGAAATGGGGATACTGGCTACATGGGCTGTCTGTTTAATGTCCCAGATACATGGACTGTTCATTTTTTCACAGACTGTAGGTTGGGTTTTGTCAAAGCAGATTAATGGCAAGGCATCCACAGAACATTGTGCTGAACAGAGGCATGGACTGAGCTGTCACTTGCAATAGATGGCTGAATAGCTATCAACATGGGCTATCATAGAGAACTAAGCTTGCTAGATTAAAAGCAGGACTTGTGCCTAGAAAACAATGCTCTGTATTACTCATTGAACTTCAAGCTGCAGTTCTCTCTTGTTGGGATTTGTTAAAATATTCACATGCTTCCAAAACGAAACAAAGGTCCACCAGCATCTTCTGGGGAGAAGAGTTGGGATCGGCTGCATTCAGTTGCCATTTGGTTGGACATGCCATACAAAATCCTCACTGGACATGGCTCAATTGTAGAATCTTTGACCCAGAAAGGAGATCTTTGTTACACAGAAGTCTCAGACTCCCCCAGTGCTCATCTGGTTACATGACATTCTCAAAGAGCTGTAAGGATCGCATGATATTGTCATCCTGAAAGCAAGGAAAAGATATTTCCATGAAACCAGCATGGACAAGCAGAATTCATGACTCTGCCTTGGCACCAAGGAGCTCTGCAGCTGCTCCTGCAGGCAGCAGCCTTGCTCTGGGAATGTTTTCAGTGCCCAGGCCTGATCCAGCACAGCAGCTGGCTTGTACCTCAGCCCTGGGTTGGTTTGAGGAACACCAAACACAGGGTCTTCTCCTGAGCCTGACATCCAGCACAGGCTGTGCCAGGCAGGGCAGTGGGCTAGTGCCTGTGCCCAAGCCTCAGATGTCCCTGACCCTGGGAGTGCAAATGTGCTCTTGGCTAATGTGCTCCACAAGCCCAAATGGAATGGTAGGTCTTGAACTGACAAGCAAACTGCCTTGAGGGAGCACTTCCTGCCAGAAATTCCAGCTCAAACCTAAAACACATGCAATCTGTGCAACCTCAGCCTCTCTGAGGCTCCTAGAGCCAAATGAGAAAGTTCCAGACAGACACAAGGGAAATCCTGGATTATTTCTCCTGAAGTATTGGAATTTTACTTTGAGATAAGAACCAGATTAGTATTCAAACACATGATGGTTTCCACCACCCCCGCCCCAGGAATTCAGTTATTCCAGAAGTTAGAACAGCTGTTTGCCTGTAACATGAAAACAATTTTCCACATTGAGAGATCTATAGGACTGCATTCCTCAGTGGTTTTGTGAGGCTGCATCATCCCTGTCACTGCTCACTCAGTGGGTGCAAGGCTCCACCTGGCACAGGAAGCCAGTCACCCTCAGGTGATTGATCACCCTGCAATCATCCCTGGCAGGGTCCTGCAGAGCCACTGCAATGGCACAGGTGAACACTTTGGGTTTTTTCATAAAGATAAGAAGAATAAATCTTGGTGTTGCAGGGCTTGCTCCAGCCTGCCAGGAAACAGCAGCTACAGTGCCACCAGCCTGCCCAGCTCCCAGGGAGGCCAGGATGGCAACAGAAGGAACCAAACCCAAAAGGGGACAGAGAACTAGAACTCTCACAGTTATAGGTGAAGTAAAACAGCTTCAATACTGAGACCACTAATCATACACACATCTACAGACAAGTTAAGAATGTGAAGAATAATATACAACACAAATGATCAAATGAAGATGGTGCTAAAAATAAGCCAAACAATCAGGAGGGACCAAGAATGAAGTAACTGAAAAACATTAGCTGTCTATTATGCTTCTGCTAAACAAAGATTTTGCGGCCTGAAGTCCCTGAATGAGACTGGATGTCTCCTTGGTTTGACACCAAAGCAGCAGAAGCCAGCCCAGCCCTCCACAATGAGCACCTTCCCCTTGCTCAGGGACAGAAGAGTTGTCTGGCTGCAGAACTGGAAACAATTTTCCAGGCAACATAAAATACACAGAAGGACCAATATGCAATTCTGTGCACCAATATAAACATTCCAAAAAGCAGAGGTTATCTTTATACATCATTATTGTACTGGTCAAATATTAGAGATAACTCTGAGCAAATATTCACACAATCAAGGTCTAAGACAACAGATATTAGGCCAATTGCATGTTAATGCAGATACTTCTTTGTGCCAGTGCTAAAAGTACCAACAAAAACTTATCATAGCCAACCTCATATATGGAATTTGCAAGAGGGGGCTTACTTCCAAAACAGAGGAAAAATTAAAATCATTGCTATGATGACAGAATTTGCTTTTAATGTTTGACCATGAAAACATTGGTTTTATAACTCAGTGCTATAATTGCAAGAATTTGAGACACCTTTAACTCTGAGGAGTTCCAGCAATATGGTACCTGGTAATGATATGTCAATGTTAGCACACAGAGACAGCAGCAGTCTCAAAATGAAGGAAAATAAAAACCCAAAACCAAACCAACAAAAACCCAAAACAACCTAAGACAGTTAAGAACTTTCTCTACAGATGTCTGCTTGCCTGTAAAATCTGGCACTGCAGTCCTCTCAGGAAAATAAAAAGACTGGTCCCAGCACTGCACATGAAGATATCATCTCTCATATTCTACCTGACCCTACCTCTCTATTGAGTCACAGGCTTCAGAGGGCATCACAGTCTTGAACCTGTTTTTGGTTTGGGTTTTTTTTTTCCACAGAGCAAAGAAAACTCAGGATCCTGAGAAGCATCTTGTTTCAAATAGAGTTTATCCAAAGGGAAGCAAATGATGTGACATGAGATAGAGCTTTCCCTGCAGTTGTACTTTAGTCCTTACCTCCTGACACGATTCAATAAACTCATCTAGAGTTACAACTCCATCTTTGTTTTTATCCATTTTCTGCAAAATAAAATAATGTAAAAATTAGTTTACATTGGTAACACTACTGTTGCAGTACAGGATCTTAGTTGATGCAACCTGAATAAAGCTAAGCACTTAACAAGCTTAGCCCACAGACTCAGTGTTGGATTGGCCCGCTGCTAAAGACTTGTTTACTATGGGATTTGGAGCACTTTCAGGTTTGTCTCTAAGTGCTTTCTTGACACACATGGGAACCTCTGTCCTTATTCCATCATTTATTTATTCATTGCCTGACCCCCACCCACTGTCCTGTCAGCTGAGAGAAGCAGCACAGAAAGGATGCAACACATGCAGAAGCTTCAGACTTTCTGGACATGGCACTCCCCAAGGCAAAGGGTCAGGCTAAGAGACCAGGCAGAAACCTTTGGAGCCAGGAAATCAGCAGGCATTGCAGTGCTAAGCTGAGTGGCTGCTAGGGTTCATTTTGGAATATATAACAAGGTATAAACTCAAATTTATAGGAAAATCTATCAGTGTATAGCTCAAATGTTAAGAAAAACCCATCAAAACCCAGGTACCTGGAAAAACACTTCTACATGCTGCCTTGGTGCATCCTCCTTGAGCACTGGATATGTGTATTTTCCCATCATATCATAAATTGCCTTTACGATATCCATCATTTCCTGCCATGGCAGCATGCCAGCGCAAACACAAAAAGGAAGTGAAGAGAAATGAGAGCCCATTTCTGTCTTGTACTGCCCTATTCTTCACCCTCCTTCTCCTATGACAAACCAGCACCTGGAATGTCTGTGTGTGTGTACGGAGACAGATGTACCAGACACACAAACATCCTATAGAGAGAATTGCTTCCCTCTGTCCCCCCTGCCACATGCTGCCAGTGTTCCCTCACCTCCCCTGGCCTTTCTGGGAGCAAGGGCTGTGCTCAGCCCTGCACTGTGGCACCAACCCAATCCCCAGGGCCTCCTCCAGGTCCAGGGACCCTCACGGCTGGAACTGGGAATCTGGTCCCTCCCCACACCTTGCACAAATTGCCCCTTATCTCCACAGCCTGTGGAAGTAACTGCAAACACTCCAGGGATGCACAATGGGTTTGAGTGAACCAAGATGTATTTGACAGGTATTCAGGGTCACCATGCTCAAAACCAAGGCCTCCCATAATGGGAACAAGCAATACCAGATAAGAAGATAAAAACAGATGACAATGCAGGATTTGGGAGTGGTGCTGGAGGCTTGTGCTGCTTCAGATAACCCCCATAGTATCTGCCTGTGCAGAAAGCAAGCCCTTGAACCTCAGTCACCAAGCACTGCCACCATCACCCTCCCCTTCACAAAGGTTATGTGGCTCAGAGCTGTAACCAGAATTTTGCTCCTGGCTAAAAAAATTCATTAAAGGTATCATAATATAGGAAAAATTTGTCAAGAAAATCATGCAATAAGATCACTGTGCACTTTGCTTAGACATAGACAAATGCTTGAGTCCACTCTGAGCTGCATTTCATTAGCTGCCTGTAAAATTAATTGTGTTCTGCAACAAAACCCAATCAATTCTCCCTTCCAAAATCAACCACATTTGTCAGGAAAAAACTTACCTCCTTGTTTATACAGCCGTCCTTATTTATGTCATACAGATTAAATGTCCATCTCAGCTTTTCATGAACAGTTCCCCGTAGCAGAATGGACAATGCCATCACAAAATCCTGGTTTGGGGCAGAGAGAATTCTCGTAACTTCCTTTTCTATGTCACCCTCTTCATGCAACACCAGTCAAAAAATTTCTCTTTTTAGGATGGAGCATATGATTATCAACTTCTGCTAGCTCCCTTTTCCAAAAATTTGTCCTCTCTGACTGAGCTCAATGGCTGAAGCATTCACTGAGATGTTTGGTTTCAAAGAGCACTGCCAGATGCTCCAGTGACCTTTCTCCTCCCTGCTGCAAGGAGCTGTCACTCAGATTGCCACCACCTGGTTAAACACAGTTGGACTGTGCCTATGGGAATAGAAGCTGATGCCTTTTTACCTCCAGATTGAGGTGCTGGCAAAGAAGGGAGAAAATCCTATCTGAGACAGAAACTCCTCTGACACAGGGAGCCTTAGATTTTGTTCTCTGGCAAAATCTGCCAGAATTGACCACATGTGATTCCCACCACTAATTACTCAGTGTGGCACACATAATTTTACTTGGTTTTCTTTGCTTACAGTAAAGTTACTGTTTCTGATAACTGTGATTTATTACTTTTACTGCATGGTGGCTCAGGCACTGAGAATAGCATAGCTACAGGGGATTTTTAGCACAGGCAGAGCTTCAGGCTAACAGGTCCTGATAACTCATTTAATATCTTTAGTCACCTCCATGAGCTCTGCATGGGGCAGTGCAGCACTGCTTAGAAACCTCTGCTCCTTTTTGCTAAGCCTCTGAGGAATTTGAATTTGTTGAACAATACAAAGAAGGGAACAAAATTCTGATGCTTGACAACCAGTTAAGAGACACATCGGCCAGGAGTGAAAGTTCAGCACTTTCTAGGTTTGGTGGTTTTTGTTTGTTTGTTTGTTTGTTTCTCTTAACAGCATTTTTCCTGTTCTCAGTCTGTTTAGGTTTCTGAACACCTTTAGCTACTGGGGAGCTGCCCCATGTAAATCTCCCCCTGCAGCCCTTGTCACACACTCCATTTTACATTTAATGAACAAACATGTTTCCCAGTCTCATCTGAAAATTACCAGAGGTTTTGACCATTTGACAGCAAAGGCAGGACTGCCTGTGATATGTAGTTTTATAGGAGTTCTATCATCTTCAAAACTGTGAAGTTCATCCTCTAGAAGTCTATGATTTAATATATCCTTTTGCTGCACACCTGCAGCTATGGGCTGAGCATGAAGAGAGGTTGTGTGTAGCCACTGCAACATGCCTTTTAGTTAAAGGGTGAATTTGTTATCCCAGTACCTGAGATGCTTGCTCAAGACATCATGCAGTGCATGATGACTGCAGAAGGTACCAGATGCAAGTTCTCTGTGTCCCTCATCTCATTTCACATGGGACTCTCCTCAGCCATGCCTCTCTTCTGCATAAACCTCTGCACTTTCTCCCTTTGATCTTAACTAGCACAATCTAGATCTTTCTTTACTGACATAGAACTGCATCTGCATATAAAAATGTAAACCAGATTTGAAAATATCGACTGACTTTAGACTGAAACTTGTAACACTTAATCCAACAAGTCCTACTACTTTGCAGTGAAGAATGGACAGAAAAGGTTAAAAACACAAAATAGAGAAAGTGGCGTGGAAAGAAGATGCCAAGAGATCACCTCGAACTTCACGGAGCCATTCTGTGCAGTGTCAAAGGCGTTGAAGAGGTAATGTGCATACATGCTGGCATCTGAAAGGCACAAAGGGCAGTGACAGCAGCTCATCATACATGGGTGGCTCTAAACAAGCCACAAACTTATTTTCCTTCTGTGTATAACTCAATCCAGAAGCATTGCCAGGTATTCTATGAATCAGTAAAAGTTATCATGGACTTGCAAAATCCTGGCACCCTCCCTTAAAACAGGTGAAACATTTTGAAATGCAAAAGCTTATATTGCAGTAGAAACTACATGGATTTTGGGGCAGCACCTGAAAGAATGAGCAGAAAATCCCCAACCATCCCAGAGCGTCTATGGTTCAAATGGTGGGAAACACAGCAAAGATACCAAAGAGTGACTGCAATCTGCAGCATCCTTTCTCTACCTTTTTGTTTTGTGGGAGACACAGCAGAGACCCCCCAGGGAATACCCAGCTTCAGAAGGGTCTTGCTCCAGTTACTTGATTTTCACCCATGACTGCTGGAGACCAATCTCACCTAGAGGCATATTTTTGTCCTTTTGAATCCTAAACTGCTGGGTTTAGAAAATCACAACAGGAAATAATCAAATTCATACTGAAATTTAATACAAACTTTTAATAGGTGTGCTTCTTTGAGGTCACTTCTATGGGATGAGGTGTACTTCTTTAAGGTCACAAACATAAGCATAATGTGCTTTATTTTGACATTTAGTTGAAAAAACACTTGTTAATGACCTTCTTTAGGTAAATGCACATGCACACATACACCCTTGCAGAAAGGTCAGTCACCATTTCCCAAAGAGTGTGTTCTGCAGCTACTAAAGAGTGGGGTATTTTGGAAAGTCTCAAATACTTAATTTTTTTCTAAAAAGCCACTTAAATGACTCATTTCTTTCAATTTGAGAACAGTATCCCCACAGGACATATCCATCTAGAATATATAGATTCTTGATATTCTTAAAAGACAAGAATGTATTATTTGACAGATTTAATACAATACCTTAATATGCCCATTCATGACATGGCCCTGTCTTAGCCACATAAACACCAAAAATGATCATTTCAGGTAGCCAGGTGTTTATTTATCAACTAAAAACTGCTTTAAGAATTTTAAGGAGGTTTTGATTAATTTTCAGGCCAAAAAGAAGTCTGGGACCCTCCTGTGATACGCACTACATGCCCAGCAGTCCAACAGCAGGGAAGCAAAGACACACCAAGGGAAGCAATTCTACTTTCTGCCAACACAGTCAGAACGCAGCAAAGCAGCTACCCCAGTTTTTATTTTGGACCTGGGGAATAAAGACATTGAGGGCAATCTTTATTGAGGTTTTCCTATGTTAAATAACTGTTCAAAGGGCTTAAAAGTTTATTACCTTGATGTTTGTGTTTCTGTCTAAAATCCCTCAAAGCTTCAGCTCAGCTCCCACTTCTCACAGAGATGATCTGCAGCAGTTCTGCAGCCGGCTGGCAGTAGGCAACGTTAGGGCTTCAAGAGCCTGATAGGCACAAAGCACTCCACTTACCTCCATGAGGAAAAAACTGTGCATAGATCTGTTTGAATGTTTCTTCATTAACAACCCCACTAGGACATTCCTGTTGGAAAACAAAAGAAAAAAAAAAAAGAGAAAAAGAATCAAGAAAAGCACAGGTTTGTAAAGGTTCATTTGCAAAACTCTACAAGCCTGAAGAGAGCAATGAAACAAAACACCTTTCTGTTCTCACAGTGCTCTGCATGCACAGGTTGTGCAGCTGGAGAAATTAAAGTAATTCAGACTGCAGTTTCATCTTCAGCATCTCACAAAGCTGGTTCACCATTATTAACATTTCTAACTGTGTTTTCAGCAGCTTCATTGCTGTTTTATAGAATGACCTAGAAAGGCAGCTCATGCCTTCTGTCATATGAAGCTTTCATCTAATAATTACAAATAATGTTCATGCCAGTTAACACCTCCCTAATGCCTTCACAGATATGAACCCATTAATCCTCAGCAGCAGTCTGTAGCCAGAAGCCTGACACCAGATCCACAGAGGTGAACAGTCCATAGCACACTGGTAGGTCCTTATGAACGAACCCCAATAATAAACACACCCCCACCAGCTCAGTGCTGCTATAACATACATTACAGGGCCTTGGGCACTGCTATCAAACCATGTGGTACTTTCAGTTACAGAAAACACTTCCCAGTTGATGGCACTATTCTTCAAATTCACCTATCAACCAATTTTGAAAACTAAACCAGAGCAAACCAATAAAATAACTGCAGCATTCAGCCTTTTCCACAGAGCACAGAATTACAGACACAGAGAAGTCATCTTCCTTCCACACTCATAGCCACTGGTCAATGGGGTCTGTGTCCTGCTGCAGCACTGACCCCACTCAGCCATTTAACTCCCCAAGCGCTCATCAGGGAGGGAGGAGGGAGCAAGAGCACTGCCCCTGCTGGTAGGATGTGCTGGAGATGGATTATCTGAGCAGGCTGACTCTCTCACAAAACTCACAGATCTGGCACATTTATCCTGGCTGGATGCTTAAAATGAGCTGAAGGGCAGACTTGGGATCAAGAAAGTCCCTCTGCTCCTGGCACTATACTCACTCCATGCATCCCTCTCTGTGTCATGGTGTGATGCTTGCCTCACCTTAACACAGGTCCTTCAGCTGGGACCTAAACATAACCCTTTGCACAAGGAACCACCAGCTTTCCATTCTCGGAACCTGACTCCTACTACCTTGCCTGACAGTCCTGAACTGCTGTCTAGACAGAGTGAGCAAACAGTCAATCTGACCATTTTTCTGTGTGCTGCTTGTGATTTTGTGGGTTGCAAGGTTCCTAGTTAGATGGGTGTTCTCAAACTGTTCCAAAGCTCCTCAAAATATCCATTGGCTGGTTTCCTTATCATGAGAAAAGTGGCTACTTTTTCATCTGTAAAGCAGAAATCACCAACGGAATATAATTAAATAGGAGCTAACAGCTACCATATGAGATTCTCCCAAATATTTCCTAAACATCCATATTTTCCTGAAGGTTGTAACCTAACATACATTAAATAAATAATCTGATATTTATTTATGGTATCTTTTAATCATTGATCAGCCCCAGAATCATATGCACAGCCATTCTTGGGTAAAAGTGTTCTCCTTGGTCACTGAAGTGCTGTTGCTACAAGATCACACAGGGCCCTTTGCGGAGTACTTCACCAAATGGTTATTCTTCTGAAAAGCAAGCCTGGCACAACTGATAGTAACAGATTTTTAAATCTTAGAAAATTTGGGGAATTAGAAAGAAAGTTAGGCTTGGCAAGCCCTGGGAAAAGTGTTAAAAGTAGGCCCTGGGAAATGTTAGGCCTTGTGCTTGCTAAGATCATGTGAAACTGCACTTGTGTAGTCAGTGTATGATAAATGATACAATTGTTAGATGTGATTAGATGTAATTATTGTGTAAAGAATCATGAGAAACTATGTTAGGGGTTTGGGGGGGATCACAAGAAATCCATGCTTGGGTAAAATCAATGCATACAATGGAACAATGTAAGTTTAATAATTAATATGTAAGTTATATAATGATAGAGTATAAAAACATGTTCAACTCAAAACCAAGTTGGTTCATATTTGGGTATGTGTACCCCTGACCCCCAGAGCTCTTAATAAAGCACCTTCGTATAATCATCCCATGATTACGTGTTCCTGAATGCTAACAGAACTGGCGCATCCTTTCCAGCACAGCGCTACACTGAGATTTATTTCCTTCTCTCCTCCTGATACCACAGCTGGTAGGTTCTCTACGAACCACAACTTCACCCGCTGAAAGATGGTTTGTAGATGAGGACTCATTCTTTTCTCTATGTTTCCCACAGCTGCAGAGTCCCTGAGGTCCCTTCCCTCTGTCTATTACCAGAGATGGGCACATGGCTGCTTCTGCCTGTGCTCTCTCACAGGGCTATCCTGCCAGTTTTAGCCATTGGGCCTGCTTAATTTTCTGAATTTCCACATGAACTTTATTGCTTCTGATGCTCCATCTGGAAGCTAAATAAAAGTTTGTATCATAGCTCTAGGAGTGCTGGAGAGAGGCAGTGCTGACATTGATCAGCCATTTAGCTCTCTGTAACTGGATTGCTTTCAGACACATATGCTACTACCAATTCATTTGCAGTTAATTGATCACAATTTTTGTTTTATAGAAGCCAAATAATGCTCAAGAGGCCTCATTAGTGCTATAGTACTACTTAATTCTGCTGACTCGAAAGAAATCTCTCTGGTGAAACAGAGCAGGTGAGCTTCGTGTCAGTTTAAATTCCACTGAAGTTAATAAATGTTCACTCATTCAAGAAAAAACTTGTCAGTAAGAAAAACACAGTCCTTCACTGTAGTATGCATAAGGCTTTCCTTTAACAGCAGGGTTTTAGGTTAACATCTCTCATTTCCTTAATCTATAAATTCTTTAAAAATGCCAAACAGTGAACACAGTCTTTTGTATTGTCATCAAGCACAGAACAAACCCCTCATTTTCCCAGGGCTATCAAGCCCTGAACTTACCCTCTTCTTTTAAATCACTAAACCACAAAGGAGCTGAATCCATATAAAAACCAAACACACCAGCCCACAAAACCATGAGGAAAATTAAGGGGCAGTTGCATTTTTCCTCTGCTGGAATCAGAAATAAACTTCACTGCTTTCAGAGATATGCAACACAGAGACCACAGGGGAGCTGAGCATGGCCTGCCTGTCAGACCCTCCTCAGTTCCCCTGGTCAGAACATGAGGACAAGTACCCAGGGGTCACATTTTGCTAAATTAGAGGTGGTAAGTGAGCTCACCACAGACAAACCCACAATCCAGACCTGCATCTCTAAGCACTTACACATCCCATGTAGTTTGTTGCTCTATGTTCTTCCACTTTGGAGATGTTTTGGGGATTATTAAAGTATCAGAACATTTCTCCCTTGCTTGTACTGCTTACTTAATCTCCACAATCCTGCTTTGGTACAATTACATCTCATACTACGCTCTGTTACAGATTTGCTAAGATACTCACACTAAAGCAAGGTAAGGATGTCTCCAGCAGCCCCTGTTATTTGGGCCGTTTCCTGACTTAGTATTAAGAAATTACCTCTCGCAGCTAAAAAGCATTTCCTCTAACAACAATCCCTCCCACCCCCCAAAACAGAGCAAAAAAATCTCACAAAACCCCCACTTCTTTCAAATTCATGTACTCCATTACAAAGAATGCAAGCCATTAGAAACATAGCCTAAGTGGAAGATCCTGAATTACCAAGCTCAAATCTCTGTATTGTTGGTCACTTCATTAGACATCAATTTACCAATTTTAATAATAAAAATACTTCCTTGCTCTCCTTCCTGCAATTCCATAACTGCCTACCAAACTTTACTCCTCTGGGGGGCAGAAACTTTCTTCTAATTCCAGCCTTTGCTTATTCATGGCCATTCTGCTCCTGTGCCAATATTGCTGTTTAGCTGAAATAGTTCTGGTGGTTTTGGAGACAGAAAGTATCACAGTTTCTTTTGTTGAGCTGTACCAAAGCGAGACCCACCAGAGGCTCTGTTGGGTTTGCCTGTAATGCTGCTTTTGTAGAATCCCAGCCAAAGAGATGGGACCAAACACCCCACATTAGTCTGGCTGCAGTATGACTGCAGCTGGCAGAGAGGTGCAAAGGAGACCACTCACATCATGCAGAATCAAGCTGGCAGAGGCAACTGCTAAGGTAAATATGAACTGATGGTCCTGGAAACAAGAGATACTGGAGGGTGGCACCCTCTCACAACTGGAAAAGGAAGCTGAAGGCGAAGAGAGGAGACATTTGGCCAGGCAGCAATACCACAGACCTGGTTAGCATGCTCAGCTTTTCTGGAGACGAATTTATTGGCAGCCTCCATCAGCCTGGGGCAAAACCACCAGAGCAGACTAGTGACAACTGGGGCAAAGCCTGAGATGATTTGGAGGGGGGTGGGGGAACAGAATTCAGAGACAAAGAAAGAACAAATTTAAAGGTACTGAGAGTTAGGACGCTGGTCAAGCACTAGTCCAGAGGCCAGCCCAGGCTGTGCTGAGCTGCCTTTGGATGAACACCATCCCTGCTCCTGCACACCAAATCCTCTGCAGCCAGAACTTGTGATTTTCCAGGTGTTGCCTTGTGAATAAACAGGACCTGTGCAATAATCACTGAGAGGAAGCAGTAAGTACATGCAGGGAGGAAAATAACTGTATTTCCACAGGGATTTTGAATCTCCAGATGGCACTGTAACATCATCCCAAGGAACAGACGTTTTGGTACAATAGCAAATGTGGTAACAGATGAGCCAGTTTGCCTCCTGTGCATAATTACTCATCCCATTGAAACCAGGCTACCAGCATTAAAGCTGCTCTTTCATGTCAATTTAAACCTTAGATACAACACTTTGTGCATATTGTGTGCAGATCAGCTGGATAAAAACTGCCTGCTTTATCCTAATACCCAGATATAAACCAAGACCTTGCCATCAATGCCAATTAATACCAAGACCTTCAGTGATGTCCTAGGTTTAGGTCAGATGTTAAATGCCCTTGTCTGCCTCTATTGCCAAGGGAGGTAATGCCTCTGTACTGCAAAGTGCCAGCAGAATTGGGAAGGGCAGGGGGTAAATGTCCTGTGTGCTGAGTACTCTAGGTCTGCCTCACTGGTTTGCACCTGCAGCTGAGAATCCCCCCAGCACAGAGCAGAGCTCTCCCACACAGGCTTCCCCCCGCGACGGCCATTTAGAAGGCACTGTAGAGATCTTAGCAAAACAGGGTTTAACCTCCCTCTGTAGGCAGTCTTGTCATATCAGGGCGTTAGCCTGCCAAGCTCTGTCTGAAAAGCCTTGTGATTTCCTGCTGGCTGGCAAAAGCATGAAGAGTGTTCAGTTAGGCAACTTCACACGTTAAGTGACCTTCCACATGCAGCAATGGCTGCACAAACATGCCACACGCACCAAGCAAAAATACAGAGAAGCTGAGCTGTGTTTTGACCCACTTAGGTGAGTAGTGAAATAAAGGGTGAAATCACCAGACTCTTAAAAAAGTATAATATACACTGTAAATGTGATTTGATCAAATTTCAAAAATCTGTCAAAAAGAAAGGCTTTTCTTAAAGTCCTGCAGGTTCCTCAGAACTGCCTGTATTTAAGGTAGCTCAGCTTTCTTTTGACAGGTTTTTACCCAACAGACTTGACTGAGAAAGGTCAGCATTTTGCTGTGATGGTCTCTGAATGCTGGAGCTGTCCTGCAAGAGAATATAAAAACCATTCTGTGTTTACTGAGCCAGCTTGATTCTGACCTGTTAATCATTATTAAAACATCAGCTGGCACAAACCACCTGGGTGACTAAATCCTGACCCTCAGGCAAACATGTAATGAGTACTCATTCTTCAAGGTCCATAAAGCATCTGCTCCATGCAGCCTCAACATTCTCCATCCATTCCTGCTGATTGTGAGGATCCCCTAAGAGGCAGCAGCAGAGGCTCAGGGGCTGCAGACTCGGGGCTCCCAGGGAGCCTGGCTGGAGCCATGGCTCACAAGGCTGGGCATGGAGCTGCTCTACACACCCAGTCATGCCAGCTGGCACTGCTGCCTGCTTGCCCAGAAATCTGCAGCCTCTCTCTGGTCTCCTCAGTCTTAACACACATCCAGCTTTTGATTCCGTTTTGGCTCCTGCCACTCCAGCCTTATTCTCTATTTATGCAGGACCTTCAAGTGCTAAAGTGCTCTACAAAGATCCTGCTACAAGAGCAAGATTTCTGAAACAAGAGAAGGGATGAAACCTCCATCCTGGGCAGCTAATCACAAGTGACCAGTACCACTTCTTTTTGAAGATGAAGAGATGACAAGGCTTAAATAAGTAGCCACAAAAGCATTTTCAGGTTATCTTCAAGTACTGGCACAGCTAAGGAAATTGAAGTGTGCTTGCTGACATTTGGGGAACAAGTTTAATGAGACCATTAGGTGCTGATTATTCATTCAAATCCAGTTTTAGGCAGATTGCAGTGTCATAAATATTAGATGGAGAGGCAGATTGTGCTCATTTTGCTGTGGTAAGGGAGATCTAATACAAAACTACTAAATTCTTAGCAGGGGAATAATACAAAATCAAGCTGAGCAGTTGAGGCTGGTGGGGACACACATATTAGACTCTGTTCACTGTGCTACTATTCTTACATTTTTAAATCCTCTGTAAAGAACTTGAAGTTCTCTTTTAGTGAAATTGGTTTGTGCTTCAAGCTGTTCCAGTCCCTCGGGTCTATGGCACACTGTCGTCATTTCTAATTCGTCTTCAATTTTATCTGAAAGAGAAGACAGGAAAATATTTATTTTGGTTGTTACCTTTGCTCTTTTAACATGATGGATAGGACAGACTAGATTTCAAGAGCAAAAAATCAAAAAGAAACCACCAACAGAACTGATCTGTGTAACCGTTTCCAACCTCTTGAAAGCAAAATAAAAGCCACAGGAGTAAAGCAATAGCTCACATTTCTTCCTGGGCTGCCAATTAGCTTCCCAGTCACAGAGCCAAAATGGTGTTGAGAGCAGCAGGGCAGCAGCAGACACATTGCTCCAAAAGGCAACCACAGACATTTCATACCTAAATATTGAAACAGCATGAAGGAATGGAACTTCCAAAGGACTAGCCTTAGAGAAATCTGTGCAAATATACCTGAGAGAGCAGACATGCTCAGGCATATCAGACAACAACCTTATACTGAGGGTAAACAGTGAGGGAAACTTCTCTGTGTGCTAACCAAAATGCTTGTTCTAGCATTTTGATATTGAAGGTCACTTTGGTCCTAGGAGAAATTCAAATTTTGTCCACAGTTGCAGAATCTGGAATGAATTCAGCCTGAATTTACGAGGACTTCTGGGGGAAAGAGATAAAAAATGAAAAACACTTCCATGCATTTTATTCAGGAGAATGTTCTTCTACATGGAAGAAAAATACTATGACATCCTGAATTACCATAACCTCACTTCATATTTGATGCATGTTTTCCCCTGCCATCCCCCAGAAACGTATGCAATGCCCAAATACGTAGATACTTAATATCTATCAGTTTGAGATTCTCTAAATGTCAAGATTCAGCCTTCAGCTGACATTAAAATCCAACCCACATCCAAAAGTTGTTTGGCATGAAAACAAACACTGCCCTTATTGTCAAAACTGCACAATTCATGCCTTGTAAAAACATTTTAGGTTATACGGCTCTAGCATAACATAGTAATTTCTGCTGTAAGCCAACAATTTAAATAGAAATTTGCAAGGAATAGAGTCACTCTGAATAGAGGAAAGGCATGAATTCAGAGCAGACTGGCTCAGTGAAAGAACAGACCAGCCCAAAGGTGTAATTTCATGAGCTAATTAATTCTACACAGATATATACACATAAATATACACATATTAAATTGAACATTATTAAGGGAAGGCACACGTCAGTAAGTGCTAACAACAATTAACATAGGTTCATTTTGTCATTGTTAAGAAATTGGTTCAAAATTGGTGAATTCAGCCATCCTCTTAATCCACCATATCTGCATCATCACAATTACCATTTGTAGGCCTTGAACAGATAAAGTGTTTTCCTCAATCCTGCTCTGAAGGTCCCTTGCACAGCAGGGGAATAAAGGTGAGAGGTGGTAACAGCATGGGACAGGAACAGAGTATCAGCTGTTCGAGGTGCAGAAAAAGGGTCTGAAGACTGGCAAGGGGCCAAAAGAAGCCAGAAGGACACACCTTCCCCACACAAAGGGAAGATGAAGAATCTAGAAATTATAGCTCCTGTTAGAAGAAAGGAAATAAAAAAGAATGTTTGCTACAAGTAATGTGTAATGTGTGAAAAAGTAATGTGAAATAAGGGGGAAAAGCCATTTTCTTTGCAAGAGAATTAATGCCACAAAACGAAGGAATGCAGAAGCTGTAAAGAAAGAAAAGCATGGGGAAGAACTTCTTTAAAATAGAGATGAGAAATAGGGATGAGAAATAGAAACAAGAAATGAGTGGTTGAAAAAAGCAGAGAGAATCCATCTCAATAGTCCTCACTCTCCACAAAGATTTGGGGTTTTTTGTTATTTGCTTCCTTTCAGTGCTTGCTCTCAAGTCAGCTCTTTTCAACCTCTCATTCCCTGATACCCTATAAATTAACCACAGAAACCTCAATGGCAAACCCAGGAGACTGGTACTTCCTCCTCTGCCCTCGCTATTTATCATAGGCATTGTATTTCCTTTTATTTACATTTTCATTTTCATGCTGGCTCAGTCCCTCCAGCTCTTCAAAGGTGTCACTGTATGAAATATGAACTCTTGCATTTATAACCACTACAGTTTTATTAAACTGAAGCTCACTGTAGGGTGGTGACTGCAACCAGAAGTGCATATATGTAAACATGTGCAAATTTAAACTTTTGATAGGAATGATGTTATGATATTTTATCTAATACCACATTCTTCCTCTGTTTTGCCTTGTTTACAGCTTGCTCCTGAAAGATTTGAGTGTAGGAAACAACCTTGCTGCTGGTTTAATTTTCTTCTTCAATTCACAGATGCATGAACAGACCTTGGGAGTGACTGCACCCAGTGTGAGGGGTGAGTGTGGTCACCTCCCCAGCTTACCTGGACCTGCCTGGTGCTTTCAGCACCCTCGTCCCCTCTGAGCTGTCAGGACACCCCTGCCCTGCTGATGGAGACATGCATCCAGGGGCTGGGCACCGTCCAGTTGCTCAGTGACAGCTTGAAGAGCTTGAACCTTAGCAAAGCTTTTTTTTGTTGTTGTTGCTGTTGAGTTATCTGTGCTCACTAGTCAGGTGGAAGCAGTAACTAATGCAGAAGGCTTCTTCTGCTTACGGGTACTGAAAAATGGTAATTTGTTCTGGTTTTATTTCCATCACTTGTTAAAATCATCCTGGGATGAATCCCTTCCACACCAGGTGGCTGCAGTGAGTTGTGTCCTAGGCTGAAGACTTTAGCCAGTTCAGAGCATTCTCTCAGCTGTTTTCCTTACAATGTGTTTAAAAATGGAAAAATGGGATGTAGCATTTCCTGAGTTTGGATTTATTTCTGCTCATACTTTTGTGGCTGCTTTAATAGCAGGGTATGAGGTCTGTGTCTGGTAGACTCACCTGTGGTAATCTTACTCCACTGTAGGCCCAGGTTAAAATAATCACTTAGGTTTGTATTTTTGTGCAAAATAGCATCTGTATTTGCTTAGCCCATAGGATATGCACATTTCCTTTTATAATGAAAACCAAACAGTGACTTCACTTTACAAAGAAAAATAATCCTGACACTTTTGCACATACATGCATATTTCAGATTGTTGCTAATGAAAGAGACTCCATTTCACTACTTCTTGCTCAAGAGCAGAGAGAGAATTTTCCTTAAGGCAAATTGATGTTTTAACAGAATACACTTTAGAAGTTACTTAATGAGTCTTGCTTTATTCATCCTTTCATACTTGTTCCAATTTTACCTTTTGTTATCTCTACAGTTTGGGAAGTTCCATACTCAGAGTGCCTGCTAACAGCTCTGACCTTCACACAGCATTTGAATTAGAAGGGCCCTCAAAGATCATCCAGTCCCAAACCCCTGCCAGGGGCAAGCATACCTCCTGCCAACCCAAAGCCTATTTGTGCACCATAAAACAATTCCTTGTTGTTCCCCAGCCTCTGCCTTGGCTCTGGGATTGAGCAGCCACCATTCTGAGCCTGCCCATCTTCGCTGGGGCTGGCAGCAGCCCCACAGCCCTTGCATAGGGCTGGGTTTGGTGGGCCATTCTCTGGGGAAACAAGCATCAAACAGCACCAAACACCCTCCTCAGGTGCCAGCCCGCAGCATCTCCAGCCCCCGTGCCTGCCAAATGAGCAATAGTGAAGCCTCATACAGTGCTAGGGCTGGCCAGGGACAACCCAGTGCCTCGAACAGTTTAGAGGGTGTAAATGATTTTAATAAAGATGCAAATAACCCTGTCCCCTGCATCCAAAGGCTGCCAGGTGAAAATAAAGACCACCAGTCTCCATGGTTCATGGGAGGACTTTGAAAACAAGTTGCTTATAATAAATTCACTTTTTGTTAAGGAAAAAAGTCAAGGCATGAAGTGCAGCTAATGTGCCCAGTGTTAATTGTAAAACTAGCAGGTGTTAGATGGAATGGGTAATTTTACAAATACAGCTGAAGGGGATTAAATTACGTGCAAGAATTATTAGGCTGCATCTTGCTTTTATTAAAAAAAAAAAAAAGCTATATTTTAGGAGCAAGGACCTGAAGAAAAAATAACTCTAGTTTACCCACGGTATACCTGAAATTAATCTCCAGACAAAATGTGCTCTTGGGCAGGTCTCACAGGAAGTAGGTCTCGCCTGTGGGAGATCAACTGCAAATATTTGGAAATTTCATGAAGAGAAGTAAGCCAGGACTTGAGTGCATCAGTGCTCATTAGGGCAGGAGCTGGGCTTTGGGGTGTCCCTGGGGCTCTGAGCCTCTTGCTGCCTGGCAGCACATTCCCAGCCCCCCAGGCACGGCTCTTGGCACAGCTCAGGAGCCAAGCAGGGACAGAAGTGGCAGCTCAGACCCAGCTGTGATCCCAAAAAAGGGGTAAGGAAAATCTGCTCATGGCAAATGGCAGTTGGAAAATGGCACAGAGGCACCTAATGATGTATCAAATATTAAACACAAAGTTGAACACCCATTATTATCATTGTGAAAAATGAACTTGTAAAAATTCGTAGAAATCTAAATAAATGTATATAACAATAATGATATAAAATATAAAGTACAGTATGACACACAAGCCCTTCCCAGATCTAGCCACGAATTCCCACTCAAAGGATAACGATCCTAGCCGGCGCCCATCAACGAAAAAGAATAGACAGGACACGGCCCATCAAGCTGACAGGACAAAAACTCATCAAACTGACAAGGACAGGCTCGGTGCCCATCAACGGGGAAGAATAGACAGGACACGAAACATCAAGCCAACAAGGAGAGGCTCCGACGAGATACTCATCACCGGACCTGAACACCCCGCCTTGCAGGCTACCGTTGGGGGAAGCCATCAGGTAAACAAAAGGAAAAATCCAGCCGAAATATCCATCGGCTCCAACCCGGATCCAACCATCCCATCCAGATGGCCTGAACCACAATGAAATCAAGAA